AAGCGGCGTTTTTTTAAGGGAAACGTCAAAGAGAGAATCCATTTACTTTTTTTTTTCTTTGCTTCCGGACTTTATTGTTATTTACTGGATAACTGGACTGTTTCTTTTTATATTTATATGTTTTACTCTTCTTCTGGATTTTTTATTTTTAGGCTAGAGGCTCCCTTTGATTTTGTTTTCTGCTTTTGTGTATTCCATATCGGCTTTTCCCTTTTCCCTTTTTTTTTTTTTATGCTCTTCAGAGAGGAGGGGGGAAAGTGAGAACTAAGAAACTTTGTAACACTGCCAACTAGAGGCTCGGAAATATTTTACTTGAACTGGAAAAAACAAACTCTTCTTCTCAAGGACACCCTCTGATAAGATAGAGGAAAGCACTTTGTTGAATATTATTACAGGTGTCTTTCTGGATATTTATGGCTTAGCTTTGAAGCTTGTGGGAAAGAGAAGGGAGTTATAATTAGAGCCTTGGACAATTAAATAGAGTGCAGTGTATTGTTGCTTATTCCCTTTTTTTAATTCTTTTTTTTTTAGTTCCGCCACCCCCTCCACTAACATCAAGGTCTGATTTATTTGCAAAGGGAAGCCTCTGAATTTTTCCTTTATTTTTATTCTATTTTGATTTATTTTGCTTTATTTTTTCTCCTTTCTATTTGGATCCTGTTTTTTTTTTTTTAATGTACATCAGTGGACTATTTCTTTTTCCTTTTTTCAATTGAGGTTTTTTTTTTTTTTTTGGCTGGTCTAAGGTGTGGAATTTGAAGAAATTTATTTTTCTTGGTTTTTGCTTTGTTTTTTTTCTCTTTTTCTTTTTTCCTTTTTCTTTTTTGGCTTTGTCTTGTTCATTATTATTATCACTGGGTTTTTACTCTTATTTTTACCCTCTTTTATGGATTATTTTTCTTAATTGGATTAAGGTCAGGAAGAATTTTTCTTCTTTTTCTCTCATTATTGGCTTTTTTATTGTTGGCCCTTTTATCTTGGATTATAACTTCATACTTTTTTTTGGATTAAAATTTGAAAGAATTTGAAGAGCTGGAATCACCTAAAATGAGTAAGAAATTTATATCTTCGGGTGCCTCTATGTCTGCTTCTGCCTCCCCACCATCTGGACAGCGCTCAATTCAGACATTGTTAAAGCAAGATAAAGAAAAAGAACAAGAAAGAGTATCCTTTCAGATGATTATGCAAGGAATTCAAGATCTTAAGGTAAAAATAGATACTATTGAACAAAGAACAGGTAGGACGGAGGAAAAAGTGGAAAGTATTCAACAGATGATGGGAAAATATGAGGAGAGACTTCAAAAAGTTGAAGAGGGGGGCAAACGAAGAGAGGAGAAGATTGGAAATATTGATAATAGATTAACAGTGATTGAACAAGAAAAAAGTGAGATGTTGAAGTGGGAGTTGGATAGATCAGAATTTTATCTTAGATTTCAAAATATAGAAGAAGAAAAAGCACAAGATCTGGCTGCGATAATGGTAGGAATCTTGGCGGATGCGCTGGAGATAACAGAAGAGAAGATGATGGATGGAATAGATGAGATATATCGAGTTTTTACAAGATATGCGATGAGAAATAACCTACCCAGAGAAGTTCATATTAGATTTATTAAAAAATCTATGAAGACACAAGTATTACAAGTGGCAAGAGAGAAGACATTGAAATACAAAGGTAAAGAAATTTTGGTTTTAAAACAAATACCTAGAAGAGTGAGAGAGATGAGAAGAGAATATCGATTCCTGACCAAAAGGTTATTGGAAAAAGAGGTGTCTTACAGATGGTTGATCCCAGAAGGATTGATGTTTACGTGGCAGGAACAGAGACATAGAATTGATTCAATTGAGAAAGCAGAACTGTTCTATGCAGAAGTTTTTGGAGGGAGAGAAGGAGGGGCAGGAAAGGAGGTTCCACCAATTGAATCCCAAGAGGAACAAATGGAGATTGGAAAAGAAGAAGGTGCAGTAGGTGGACAAGTGGATATTAAAGATCAACGTGAAGTAAGACCCACGAGAGTGGTTAAATCTAAATATAAAACATAATCATGGAAGAGAAAAAATTGATTACAATGAATATAAATGGACTGAATTCAGCTGCTAAGAGAAGGAAGATTTTCCATAAATTAATGAAACTAAAGTTTGACATAATTTGCTTACAAGAAGTTCATATTAAAAAGCAACATGAACAATTGTTATCACAACCAAAATTAGGGAAATTGTTTACCTCTTTGACCCAATCTAAGAAAAGAGGGGTGGTCTTATATATTAAAGAGGCCATCCCAGCAAAAATGATTTATACAGATGATGATGGGAGAATATTAATGGTAGAAATAATGGACAATAATAGAAAGATACTTTTGACTGCAATTTATGCTCCGAATGATAAACAGGAAGAATTCTATAAAAAACTACATACTAAGATGGCTGAACTGGATTATGCTAATACAATTATGATGGGAGACTTTAATGGAATTGTGGA